ATCAAATTAATTTTCTTTACTTATGATTAATCAACCTGAACTTTATAGGGTCGTATTACGGTGAATGTCCACACTCTCGCCTCGAACTTGTCGCCCCAGTAAACAACCTAGAATCCGTAATTAACTTTAGATTTAAAGTTATTTTGGCTAATAAAATAATTTATTCAAAAATATAAATGATTGACTAAAATATACCTTAAAGAGCCTTCTTGGCAACCAACTCTTCTCTGAAGCTGCAAAGTCTTCTTCCCTCTTTTTCCTATCTTCTCAAACTTACCTTTCCTTCTGCTGATTTTGTGATAAAGTCCTTACAGAGACTCACAAACTACATTTGACACTTTCATCACAGATCAGTTCCTCCAATGGTTATCGTAAATGAATAATATTCGAAAATCGAGGCAAATTTCAAATGAAAGTGTGTGGACGAAAAGTGTTTCCTCAAATGTCGTGGAAAAGAGATTCACACTTACAAAAATTACCCCTTAGCCCTAAACCGCATCTTGCAGCTTTCTCCGTGCCGCTCGCTTCTCTGCTAGTTCGCGGCCTTTGCACAGTAGCGAGGGTCATGAGCTCTACTTCTCCCGAGCAGACCAACAAAAGGCGAGTGAACGAGGAGAATCAAGATCACAATAGAGAGTAGGAACGATTCGGGAGGAGTAATCGAAGCTCTGAACTCATTCTGCCCCACGTAAGGAATAAAAAGGCGGAAGTTGGTGGGTTGTAGTGCTAAGGATTAGCGAAATAATTAAGGTTAATTAAACTCATAACTTCATTTTATATCTCCCAAACCATTCATAATTTGCATATGATGTTTTATATCAAATTACTCAGTTTAACGTTTAGAATTTTATAAATTTATTTCTATTGAAATTCAAGGGATCAAAAGATTGAGGTATATTTTATGTTGTTAAAATTGTATCAAAATATTCATAAGTTGGTTATTACATTTTCACATCAGATCAGGCTGAGCTAATCTTGGGCTACGTAGGGATTCCATCACTATATTCGTGACACGGAAGTTCTCACCGGATCAATAATGAGCCTCTAGAAGGTTCGATCGAGATGGGTGTGTGCTCGCATGGACAAAGATCCTCCGATGTTTTGGGAGACAATGTAACCATTTGTGGGATCTAGGTGTTACCAGAATTGCAGACGAAGAATCAAAAGCTTTGACAAATGAAGTCGAAGCTCTCCTAAACCATTGACACTAACGCGGGGTTGTTGAGGCTGAACCGGTTCAGGGTTCTGCCAGAGGTTTGTAGGTTTAGTAGGACTGCTTAATCGACTGACCTTATATATATATGCATGCGTTATTCTCTTTTTATGGTTAGTTTTGGTTGATTTTTCTGTTTGGACTGCCTATGTCATCACCCATTTTCCCTTCTAGGGCTGTATTCGATGACGACAAGGTGCTCCAATTATAACCGGTTATGAGGTGGTGTATAACATGAATTCTATATACTTTAAGGTTATGTTGAGTAATAGGAAATATAGAAAGGTCTTGGAACTTATGTGCAAGAATTTATGGGCTCTATGAATGCCAAAGTTATTAATCAAGAAACATATTTTTTCCTTTACAAAATCAATTTTTAATGCCTATTATTTTTTGATTTATATAGACTTCTAGCTTTTGTATGGCCCGCTAACATCTTTATAATGCTATTAATTTTTTAATAATCATTATAATCCTCAATATTATTTATCTTTTATCTTTCTTTATAACTGCTTTTCTTTTTATTACGAGCTTTACCACAATTACTCTACTACCATGTCTCTTAATTTACATATAATATGCTTTTTATATATTTGAAAACTTCTATGTCAGTATCCATCATATCTCATTTCAATTTGGGCTTAATGAATTCTTATTTGTCTTATATCTTTCATCTTCTTATCCTCAGATAATTATTTTCTTAATAATTTTTTTTTCATACTTCTTAGCTTTTAACTTCTACTATATATTACACTGTTAAACATGTGCCATCGATCATATTACATTAATTACTTAAAAGTTAATTTTCCTTTTGTTATAAGATCCCTATTTGAGACTTGATAATTTTATTTTTGAAGTAATTTAATGTACTTATCATTTTTAGATGTGTTTTCTATTACACGATTACATCTTATTATGGGGTCAATTATGGCTTCTTTTCCTAATGAATTTCTCTATCCTGTTTCATACTCTCCATGAAACCTCATATAGCCTATTTGGTTTCAAAAGACAATTAATATATTCTCCTTTTTATTTACTGTGTATTTATTTTTGACATGGGACTTATTTGCATCGATTTGGTCTTAACTTATGCAATAATAGCAATTTCAATTTCAAGAGAAGTGAACATATTCTTCTAACTATTGAGGATGTATTTATTTTAAAATACAGTTTTTTATTTGGCAACAATTTGGTCTAAACTTACCCATACATGACTATTTTCATCCTGCATTGAACTAATCAGCAAATCCAAATATAAAAAAGCAAAATATGTATCTTTTGGGATAAGATTAGGAAGAAAATATTGGACAGAAGACAAAATAAGCATGCGAGCCTCTTACATTTTTATGATCAGTTAAATGGAAAGAAAAAATAATCAAATGAATGGAGAGGTTTAGGTGCTAAATTGATTAAAGAAATTATCGTGCAAAACAAAAACTTCTTAAATAATCTTGTAGGGCTATTTTAATAGTTTTATCTCCTTTTGAATCTTTATACCCTTCGAAGTAAATCAAACTTACCTTTTTTTTTCTAATATATTAATTACATTTGATTTTTTATATCTTCATCAAAATTTGGTTTAATTCTATTTTTGTAATTCTGACACAAATGTAACAATCCGAATGCTCTTCCATCGAGATATTGTTCGCTTTGGCTTAAGAGCCTCATGGTTTGAAGAAAGCTTCGATTGATACCTCTGATAGATAGCTGTAAATGCAAAGCTTTACCCAATTACATTAGCAGAAGTGAGCGAGCATAAAGGACGCAGCAAGAGCGGTGGGTTCATGTTTAATCCTTATTGTGGATGCAACTCGAGCAACATTTGTTAGAGATCCATAGAAGACGCAACATCAGCCACAACTAGAGTTGAGGAAAGGATTGGGCATGGACTCGTTGTTGCAGAGGGGTCTAGAGAGAAAAGACTCATATCCAATACAAAACCCCTTCCCATCCATCACTAAAAGAAGGAGAATAACAAAGGAGGATCCCAAAATGCATATTGGATATGTCACTTCATAATGGCAGAGGTGCGAGATGCCATAAAAGACATCAAAGATAGGTTAGCATAAAAAACGATGCAAAGGAATTTGAAATTGTGCGAGCAAAGACCGGAAGGTTGTATTAAAGTGTTCTTGATGATTAAGGGCAAATGCTGTTGATGGTGGATTTGCTACCGTAGAGTGCAATAACTCACAGTGGTTGTGTTATGCCTATTTAACAACATACACAAGTCACTTGGATAAAATGACAAGCTGCATGGAGGGCCACTAGGAAGCCTGAGTGATGGTTACTGGGACATGTGATTTCTATTAGATGACATGCAATGAGCTGCAAGAAAATAGTAGGGCATGCGATAAATGGGCTGCCAAGTTTTGTATGCTTTTTAATAATTACGCACGAAGCTTTTTTATATAAAGATAAAATATTATATCAAGAAAATGTGTGATGGTTACTGGTATAAAATGACAAAATGCATGGAGGGCTGTTAGAGAGGGATATTACACCTTCCATATGTAGAAGAAATCTGTCAAGGTCTTCTGCTGCAAGGATTTTAATAGAGAGTGATGTTACACTTCCATATATTGAAGAAATCTGACTTGACACTGTCACAATGGTTACTGACAACAAATCATTAAGAAATAAAAACCTTACTACTGCAATCATTGTAAGATATTTGGTCACACACATGATAAATGCTTCAGATTACACTACAAGTTGAAACTTATTATTTTCATATAGCTGAATATAGATAATCATATGACTGAACAACATGCAAAGGAAGCATCTATTCCTGAACATGTTAATTCTGTCAGTGCTACTCTAGAGACAACTTTAGATCCTACAACTTTATTGGAACCCGTTGTTACCAAAGTTAACCAGACAGATGAGCTGCTTGCTCTCCATTCCTAACACTGGAAACATTCCTACACAGCCTGATAATTCTCGTAGTAAACCTGATAAGAACCCACCTCTAAGAAAGACTATTGAGACTACTAATCCCTCTCATTTGGTTGTCTTAGATGTTCACCCAAATGAGTTGACACCACTTATTGTTGTTGGGGAAAGTACTCATACATTGGAGGAATGCCAAGGTCAAGGTGTATTCTCCACTGAAAATCCAATAAATGATTAGCTGGAATAACAAGTGGAAGATGAATGGTAGGTTCAAAAATATAAGAGGAAGAGAAAAGGAATGCCTCGACTCCAAAATCTCCAAGATGGCAGTTTGATCGTCTCAGGTGGAAGCTCCCTTCATAGTTTGTTGCTGGACTCCATTCCTAGAACTAGGGGGAGGGGGAGAGGAAAATGCTCCCATCATGGTTGACTTCCTCTACTCTTGTTCAGCGCGCTTCTATGATTTCACGAAATCTAATTTTTTGGGTAACAATTGTACATTTTAGGTACCTTTTTGAGTTTTGTATGCCTTGTGAGTAAGTTCCTACCACTCGCTCAATAAAACCTTTATATCGACTTTCCATCAATGAAATTTTTATTTTGGCAAAAAAAAAAGTATTTCTGTAAAAATGACAGACATACCAGCAGGGAAGGTGAGTGCAGAGGTTATCTTGTGTTTTTTCATTGGAGGCAAAGCAATGATATGCTTGCGGAAGACAACAAAGAAAAACATTGTAATTTAACGTAATAAGTTTTAGCCCATTGAAATATCTTCTTATTATTCTGTTACTTGGTTTCCGTTTTGGTCTACTAAGCTGAAGATAGTTCATTATTTATTGCCCTTTTCCCGCATCTAAAATCATTCTTTTTATTCATGTTATGCTTGTTTCAGGATCCTTCATTAACTGTGCGGAAGATGTTTTTGCACAAAGTCCATAAACTTTTGAAAGCAAATCTGATCCCGCCAAGATATGCATGTACTTTTGCATTGGCTTCTACTGATTTCATTGGTGATGTCCGGGCTGATGTAAGTGCTATTTACTTCGCCACGCACTGCTTCTGAAATTTTTTGAGGTGATATGATTGACTGTTCTTTTTTTTTTACTTTTCATTTTGTAGTCAATAAAATATCTTGGAGAGTTCATGGAAGATCACCACAGGCAATATTCTTCTTCTCAAGATGAAAAGAGACATATCGTAAACTCTCCAGAATATATTGTCGTGTTCTTAATCCATATTCTTGCTCATGACATTGGCTTTCCTTCAGAATGTTTGGAAGATGAAGAATTTTATCCTGAGTTCTGCAGGTACTAGTCTTGCACGTGGAAGCTTATTAATGAAAGTATAAAGTGAAACGTTTCGAAATAAATTACGAACGTGTGGTTAAAAGTGGTAATAACAGGCACTGAAGGATGCTTTAATATGATACGCGCATAAGAAAGAAATTTTATTTAATATTCATGTATGATATACAAAACACCTGATCAAATGTGACAAGTGGCACTAGAAGAACACAATTTGGTAATAGTCAACACAAAACATTCATTTGTTGTCCATGCTATCAAATGGACATTTTCAATGTGTCAAGAATACTGAAAAAATGGTTTGGGAAGGCATGCCATGTTGCTTGAGTTGTTTAAGAAAATGATCAGAGTTTTTGTCAACAGCGCACATTTCTTTTTAAATATATATTTTATTAATTATGATATTATGTTTATTTGTAAATGAAGATATTTATTTAAACATAATTTTATATTTTCTAGACTAAGGATTATATTAGGCCTATAAGTATGTAGTACAATATTTCAACATTTGCATGGTAAAAAAATATTATGGAGAAGTTCTTATGATGTGAATTAGTGGTTGTTAGCCTCGCTTGAGCTCTATCTGATGATTGGCAGCTAACTTTTTTTTTTATAATCACCTAAAGATCTCTTTTAGATCTCTCGCATTTCTTTCTCCATGCTCTAAAGAGCATTTAAGATTAACCATTCACCATTCTAGCCATCGAAATTAGCCCAAAGCTCCATAAATTGTTCTTGACCGAACGTATGTGAATTGCTACATTGTCTTATTATTTACATCACAACAAGGCCATAACTTACAACTTCTTCTTCAGATTATGTGTTTACATAATAAACTGACCCTGCACTATTAATTTCTCTATTTGGACTACTCCGAACTTATTTTCTAAAGAGAGGTTTCAAATTACTCTAAACTAGCTCCAATTTAAGCTACTCTTGATATTCAAATGACCATGGTCTAAAGATTGCACCTTCTTTTCAAAAGTTACCAAGCACATCCTCACCATTAAATGTAAAGATCTAAAATTATTTTTAGTCTCCAACCTTGCCAAGATGTCTCCCACTACTATTAGCAGAATTTTGGCACTTATGCTAGGAATACATGTTGATCATGTTAAAGGGCTCTTTGTTTTGCTGAAAATAAAATGCATTGTAAAGGAAATTGAGTATAATTGAAATTTAGTGCATTTAGATTATTTTAGAGTTTATTGTTTTTGTATAGAACAAATGCATGCATTTAAATTTTTTATTTGATTTTATGAAAAACAAAATTACTCTAAACGTTGGGTTGGGTTGCCAATAACGGCTTTTGGCTGGTGGCTGATAGGCCAGTGGGGTGGCGGGTGGCCAACAAAACTTCACTCTTACATCTACGCAAAATTTGGTGAATTTCATATACACTGAAAGTTATCTGAATGATAAATTCTAAATACTTAAAAATTTTACTCTACATTCCATTTTTTCCGAAAATATATACCCAACTTTTCAAAATGCTCGTGAAGTCTAATTTTATTAATTATATTGAATAATTAAATTTGTTTTTTCAATATTAGAGGCGACCAACTCAAGATTTGTTTGCTCTTGATTTTTAAGCTATGTAACTAATCTAAATGAAGATTAATTTGCTTACCCTTTTTTTTTACGATGGCGGCTATCACTGTCATGCTTTAAATTTGCTTACCTTTGTTTGCTCTCGAGTTCTAAGCACTATATGATAAGGAAATTGCATTGTGTTGAAGTATTGCCAACAAAAAGCAATAAGAATAGGAGAGTGATAGGAGGTGAGTGTGAAGGAGTGTTATTTGAGAAAGAAAAGAAGATTTTTTTTTTTTTTTCTTTTTTTTTTTCAAGTGTTTGTTTAGAGTGATAGGAGGTGAGTGTGAAGGAGTGTTATTTAAGAAAGAAAAGAAGATTTATTTTTTCTTTTCTTTTTTTTTTCAAGTGTTTGTATGTAGAGTACATGTTTTAGATTCGACTTATGTTAAGAAAGGCAGAGCAGACCTAGAAAGACTTGGGCATATAGTATAAAAAATGATCTTAATTTATTAGAATTAAATGAAAAAATGGCACTCAATAGGATGCATCTGAGAAAAATGTATTCATATAGCCGACCCCACTTAGTGGGATAAAGGTTTGTTGCTGTTGTTGTAGGTGCTTGTATGGAGAGTATTTTTTTTTGGGCTTATCCTAAAAGTAAGAGGCATTACTATTTTTGTTTCTGGCAAAAGAAAAAGCTTTATGGTTATTACAAGAAACGTTTCTTACCTGGACTTCTCCAATAGAGTAGACTAACTACAATAGCATTAGCATCTGCTTCTCCACTTCTAGCTCTATTGTCCTAACATGTGATTGCAATTTCTCTTAGCTAGATAAATTTGTATTTTTGCTCACATCTCCAACTTCTTTTGAACCGTACTTTTTTGTTTTCCTTTTATAGTTTAGTTGATTCTGTAATCTCTATGCAATTACCTACATATGTTTGCTTAAGTCGAATCATGTAAATTTTGGTACTCTTTGTGAAACTTGATCTTTTTTTAGTTATTTAGTGGTTTATTTTACTTGATCCTAAGTTTTGGGTTCATTGCTAGCTTTTGATATAAGGTTATCAAATTGAGATTAATTAATGGCTTTAGTAGGGCTATTAGCCATTGTCACACCCCAACTGAATATTTTGGTCAACCAATAACTTAACGGAGGAAGACAATTGAGTTATACCCAATTTTAACCTACACTCATACTGACTTTTGTACTTATTAGATTGAAGTGAGTGAAAGTTCATCTTTGTCAATCTTATCCAGCTAAATCTTATATTTCAACTCTTCTAATATTTATTAATAAATAATAGTAGGAAATAATGTATTAAGCAATAATCAAATAAAATATCGAGCTTAAGATAAATCAAGGGCTTTAATATTTCTGTTTGACACTGTCACACCCCAGACGGTTATATATTTTGGTCAATCAATAATTTAATAGAGGAAGTCAATTGAGTTATACCCAATTTTAACCTACATTCGTACTTGTACCCATTGCGATCGAGTGAGTGCCAAATTGGTCTTCTTCATTTGTTATCAAGCAAATTCTTATATTTCAACTCCTCTAAAATTTTCTAAAAATTAAAATAAGAAATATGTGTTATCAGTCATCAAATAAATTACAGAGCTTTTAAGCGAACTTCAAATATGAAATTGATAGATTAGATACTAGTGTCTCCTATAACGCTCAAAGTTGCACAATTAAAACATATACAAAACGACATGCCATCTAATTATCGATCTACTTGCTCCTTTTCCCTTCGTAAAAATTATCATTGTGCTATCTGGTGACTTTTATGATGATTGAGATAAACATCGATAGAATAATATTTAAACATATATGAAAGAAATAACACATTTTTGTTTGTGACTAACATGAGTACTTTTATTAGAAATAATAATAAACTTAGTAAAATAGTAATATTGGATGGACATGCTTTTATTTTTAAATAATAATAAGAGTAAATGAATATAAGTAGAAAGAAAATGGCTTCTGTTAAGCCTTTTATTTGATAATGCTGGATATCATTCACTTTATTTTCAAATTTTGGTCTCATTTTCAGCATTATCTCAGAAAGATCATGGGATATTTGCATAGGCTTTCACACTATTAATTCATCACATCATCTAGCTCTTCAGTCATAATAATAGTTGGCTTAAATTGGTTGGTCCTGCATCGTACTTTTCAGTTGTCCCTTAATACCAATTAGATAGTCCCTTAATTTATTTATTTCTCTACTGTGGTTCATCTCAGCAGAACTTTTATCTTCATCTATGCTGATCATTACTATAGCTGTTTACATAAATACATGAAATTTTGTTGATCATTTTCAGTATGATAATAATTTTTTTTTTCTTTGGCGCTGTTTGTTTGAAATGAATATACCTGTTAACGTCTAACTTTATCAGATGCGTCAGTCAGAAATAATGTGATTAGCTATTTAACATTTACACTTTGTTATACAATTCTTAAAAATTGGTATAAACTCGAAATGAACAGGTAATCTTTTATATTAATTTAACTTTGCTAATAAAGTTAAATGTGCTCAATATGAAAAGAGTTCTAAATACAACCACATAACAGGTCGATTTACTTTCAAGCAATAGTAAAGATTACTCTTTTAGATAACTTGTCTCTTATTTTAGCAATTGAATATCTTATATCGATCGTGTGATCAATCTCGTGGTGAATTACTTCTCTATGCTCATAGCTTGCCTCTTCTCCAAGTATATTTGGGCCCAGTAAATCCCAGGTCATGAAGCCCAGCCAACTGAATGTTCTCATTGAAAGTATTGATAGTGTGGATGTCAGGGACGCCCCCAACTACTTAGTAGGTGAAACCAAACAGTTGAAGTCACCTCGCACCACCCATTTGGAAGAAATTGATTCCTCCAGCGAGATTAGCAAGACTCCATGAAGCCCAAAGTAAAGAAAAAGTAGCCTGTAACAGAGAAACCAAAACGCAACAGAGAAGGCAATCTGAAAACAGATATATAAATCCATAACTTCCAGCATTCCAACAACCATTCATGATTAAGAAACAAACACATCCAAATATAAGCTACGTATACAAGGCTAAATTCTAGCTCTTCCAGTAAAAACAACTTATAATTAACTTCAGATATAAGGTAAATCTAAGAGATCACCCGTTAAGAGAAATTTAATATCCCTGGGAGGCACAACACCAACAGATACTCCCAATGAACCACGTTTTGCTAGCCAATCAACAGGTGCATTACATTCTCTATATACAAAATTCCATTTGACATTGAGTTTATGCATGTCAATATAATTACATATCTTATTGAGACAAATATTTAAATTCCAGAGAGGTTTTTTCTTTCTTGAAATGTATTCCAGAATTGCATTAGAATCAGTTTCAGTTATAAGTGGAAACCAATTGCAAATCACAACATTTAACATTGCAAAAAATATAGCCCAACCCTCAGCCTGAATGAAAGAATGTG